AAATGAACACATCTTCAAAAAGAAAATCTTACTTTAGTTCTTTCAAATCAATCAAAGCACTTGATGTTTGTATTACTGAGATACTGAAAATATATATTCAAACTCAAATAAAAAAGTTTTCCTGCCATTATGTTAGTTTTGACTTGATCACACACAAACTCAAAGTCCTGCAACAACACTAAAATTTAAAACAAAAAAATAGAATGGAGAAAACCAGTCATAGCTGTTGCATCTTGGCCCACACAAACAGTTTTTTGGGGGAAAATACCGAATGGCATTTACATCTACCTGACACACAGTTACACACAAACACAGTATCAGGTCGTTGAGTACTTCTCATTGCCATTTACAGTGTTATGGGCACATAGACAAGACACACCAAAGCATTCATGTGCCTCTGCAGGATCGCACTCACTGACCCCATCTCATTTTTCTCAATGTCAGTCAAGCTTGGTGGGCCTTGTGGTCCTGAAAAAGTGCCCCACTCCTCCAGCACACAGGATAACAAATTATAGGTAAAAGTATAGGACCCTTTTAAATGTCTCAGCATTTTGAGGATGGGAAAAATCTCCCAGGTGACAGAAACTTGTATCCATTGCCAGCAGGTAGTCGGATAGAACGAGCACCAGGGCTACTGCTTGTGGAAATAGTGGGTGATGGAGCCCCTTTTCTGCTGTTGGAGCAGTGGTGTCCATTGGAAGAGTTCTTGCTGCCCCTTTCCAGTGACTGCAGCCCCAGCTCCCGCAGCTCCAGGCTGTCTTGGGTATCATTAGGGGAGCAACGGCGTGGTGAGAGGTTCAGAAGGCTCAGTACATCCCGACTGGCGGAGGCAAGGGGTCCAGGAGAACTGTGGATGGCTCTGACAGGACGTAGATGTTGCTGTTGCTGGGCTGCAGCGTTAGCCCAAAAGGTCTTCAGATTGTGGATAGCTTGGACTTTCTCATCAATCACCCCTCTTCTTAGCCGGTCCAAGTCTGGGGCATCAGCTGATGTAGAGCAGGCAGAGCCTGTAGAAGAGTAGGACAGGGCAGGGGATGGAGCACTACCAGCAGGGGACTGGTGACCCGAACTAGGAGACACATTACTCGGGGAACGAGAAATGTGGCCACTGTATGGGGAGCTTGGGTACTTGAGTTTCAACTGTGCATGGCTGTCCAGAGTGGGCGAAGGGTGGCTTCCCTCCTTTTGGGAAGACTCTGAAACCGCAGGACTATTGTAGCCTGAGCTTATCTTCTGCAGTGAAGAGGAACGTGAGGGAGGTTTGGGTTTTGGGGATGACTGAGCTCGGCCACTAGCGCTGCTGTTAGGACGGCTAAAAGCACTAGTTTCAGAAGATCGGAAGGCGCTGCTACGTGCTGAGGTTCCTCCAGCTGTGCCACCCTCTGCCCCAGCTCGCTGAAGGCTACCCACAGCCCGTAGATGGCTCTGAGTCTCCTCCAGAATCTTCTGGGCCAGCTCCTGAGGATCCAGAGGGACAGTTTTTTCTTCCTGAGACTTGACAGTGCTGTCGGTCTCTGTGCTGGACTGGTCAGATTCACCTGTATCTGAACTGCTCACCTTACCCACCTTCTGGAATGGTGAGTTTGGGCTGGGCACCAGGCATGTTTTTACAGGGGATGTGGGGGTGCTGACACTGCCCCTTGATGATACTGACACAGTGTAGCCTCTCCCTGCTCCTGTGCCAGATCCACCGACGACCCCCCTGCCTCCACGGTGGTGGCGCTGGCTGTGGCCTGGTGGCAGAGGCAAGGAGTCACAGTGACTTCCCAGTGGCTCGCTGCTGATGATGGAAAAACCCTCATATTCCTCCTCATCCCCCCGGGCTCCTGCCACCGCAGCGGCTGCCCCATGAGGGGAGGAGCGACTGCGGGGAACGTGAGGGTGTTTGTGGATGGAGTAGTGTGCTGTGGCCCCACTGCGTTGCCGATGACTGAGGAAATCACACTCTGACTTGGAAGCAAAGCTCATGGAAGAGGCTACAGAGCTGAGGCTATAGACAGAGATGGCATCTGATGCCTGATTGTCCAGGCAATGAGGAGAAAAGGGAAGGCTTGAGTATCCCATGGGCATAGGGTTGGACACAGACTGGGCAGAGGCTAGAGACTCAAGGGAAGATGAGCTGTCCAGGCTCAGACGCTTGGGTAGTTCTGTGGAGTCTGTATAAAGAGATGGAGAGTAATGGAAAAATGTGACATCGGAAAAGAAAATCACTAAAAAGGTTGTGCTGTCTGGAATTTTCTTATATACAGTCAAATAAAGGAAAATGTTACAAAGAACAGAAATTATACAATGAACAGGAGCAAATCAGTGTACTTACCGAACAGTGCCAGCAGAGACTGGAGGGCAAAGTGCAAGGTGCGGCGGTTGGCTAGCTTGCCTGTCTTCAGCACCACTTCTTCTTGGCCGACCTCACATAAGTCAAATCCTGGACACACAGGAGGACAACAGTTTGTCAGTGTGTCAGCATGTCTGTGAGTCCACAGGCACATGTGAATGCTGTGGTGGGTTGGAAACTGAAAGGGAATCTGCAGTTTCATGAGTTAAATGTTGACTCACCAAGAGCAGCCAGAAACTCATGGCATCCTGGCAGTCTCCATAGCTGCACACTAATGGACACCTGAATGGGCAGGAGGGAGAAATCCTGCTCCTTCTCTCCTGTCTGGAGTTGGACTAGCACCTGATGGAGCTGCAGAAGAAGAGGGGAAGACAGATCGGGACAAAATGCAGTAGTTCAATCAACAAACTAATGAAAGTTAACAAAACAACCATTTCTTTTCTATTAATATTTTGAATTATCAAAAAGCAAAGTTATATATTTCTTTGCTCTCAATGAACATTTTCCTTTCATCTATTTGAGTTATCTGATATAATGCCAACCCCATCCCACTATAGAACTGCTGTAAAAAGGTGTAAATCTGTTTCTTAACATGTTTGAGTCCCATTCACAAGCACTCAGGGCCACAGAACATCAAGCAGAGCTGAAAGGGGTTTACACGTTCCCTGTGAACACACTTGCCTGTTTTGTTTGGGGATTAACTGGCTTAGAACAGAGACACCTTTGTCAACTTGACATAACAGAAAGTAGAAGTATGCCTCTTCACCTAAATTTTTTTACATCATAGCTCAATCGCCTCTACCACCCCCCTGCTTTGTAAATCCTTAGATACCACAAAATCCATGGGATCTGACTGCAGGAACAAGAGTTGGGAAAATAATGAGCTGCACAGTAAATGTTTTATGCAAACAACTGCAAAATGACATGAAAACAAGAAAACTTGTCATGCAGGTTTTACACAAGAAGACAATAAGTGTTTTAGAGAGTTGGACAGGACAGAGGATGGAGAGTGAAAGAACAGGGCTGAATGGGATGGAGTGCAGGAAGGTGAAGGCACACTTACCATAGCCACCATATTTTTAACAGCCTTCAGATCGCATGTTAGGGGAAGGGGGAGAGAGAATAAGCTTTTAATTGCATGCACACAGGCCATTCACAAAGGGTACGAGGGTTCAGGTCAACAAGAAGAATAACAGCAACAAGTAACATACGTTTATAACATATTACAGTTTGACTCAGGAATCATAGATAAGGTTGAGTATGTTTCCTGTTCTGTGCATTGAGTCAAATATTTGCACGATGAGGCAACAAAAACTTCTAATCACCATTTAACTGGATAGCATTTCAATTGGAGCATGTGACAACCACATGTTACACATAAACAGGGATAAACCTCTGCAGCATAAGATTAATTCTCTGCTGTCACGAGTTTGGGTACAAGAGAACAGCACTCATTGTAGCTGAGACTTTGTACTTGAAAGACTGCTAGTTCAGCTTCCATGGAGCATTTCAATGCAGATTAAGCTGCAGCTTGAGTTGCCAGTGAGCTAGCATGTGCCCATTCCTGACATAACAGTTAGTTATGCAATTATATATATAAATATAGCAGTTATATTTGTTGTTTGAGCCAAAGACCAATTCCATTTACGGCATTAGATATAAAAATACCCGGTTGATGAGCTGCTCTCCTGCCTCTGATGCTGTGATGAGTTTGCACAAAGCCTGGAGAGCTGGTGGCGGTAGACCTGAGGGATGGAAACAGAGAACATTCTTCATCATTCCTGTGCAAGGCACATTGTCTTTACCCTGAACTAAATAGCATTGTAACTAAAAAGGTGATATCATGTGAGCTGATATTAAAAATGGCTGCAAACATAAGATAACTGTCTCTGTTATATGTGGAAATCAATTAAGATTCACCTAAAATTTAAAAATCAGTAAAGCAGCAGATTCAGATTATAATTTGATGTAGAGCTTGTCTCAGGTACGTACCCAGTAGTGATTGTAAAGTAGTGCTGCACTGCTGAAGCCTGTCTCCTGGGTCTGCAGTGGGAAAGAAGACAGCAGCAGGGATACCAGTGCCTGCAGAGTCAAGACGGAAGCCCACAGCTGTCAGCAGGGCCTGCCAGCCAGGGATCCCCCCAACCTTGTTCTCCACACTCTGCTGGGATGTGTACATGGAGTTACGCTGGCCGTTCTGTATCCTCTGCAGAGACTTCTCCACCTGCAAGGAGTATGGCAGTGCAGTGTCAGTATGCCTGGTTGCAACATTTTATGTGTGTGTGTGTTAGTGCATGTCCATGTCTCACCAGATGGAGTAACACTCTCAGAGCATCACGAACTCGGTCTGGAAACTGCAGAATTTCTGCCAAAGCTTGGCCGATGAGGGAAGATGGGCTGTTGAGCTTCACATCATTGCCAATCAGCATATATCCTGCACATAAAAACATGGAATTAAAACAGCTCCATTAAACACACATATTTTTTTATTATGGGAATGTAGAATTAATATGTAACTGAATGTCATCTCTAACCTGCCCAGTTGGAGGGGTGTGAATACTGCTTGCTGCTCTGAACAGTCTTCATGGCATCTGCCAGGGCTGCACTAGCCTTGGTCCCATTGAGCAGGGCAGTGTAGAAGGCATGTACGAAAACCTTGGAGGCTGCGACAGGGACGGGCCACAAGGACACGAGAACACACTGAGCCCCAGCGGCAAGGAAGGCCCTGGTCAATCCCACAACACCGTCTGCTGTGACCTTGCTGCTGGACTCCTGGTATGAACTGGAGACACAATGACACACAACATGAGACCCTGAGTAAGAAAACTATAAATATATGTACTTGAATAACGTATTTAATTTGTTCGCCTTGCCAGTTCACCTACCCCAGCACCACCAGCTTGACAGGCAACCTCAGGTCCAATATATCTGCAGCTGTAAGGAGGAACTCCTGCAGCGGGGGACTGTCACAGATACTTTCCACATCACTGCTGTCATCCTGCATGTGGAGAGACTCTGGGATGGTGTAGCCACTTCCAATCGAGCCCTTCCTGCCTCTGCCACTGCTGCCTCTCCTTCCGCCTGCACCTCTCCCCACAGTTCCCACTCCCACGCTAGCACTTGCCCCACCAGGCACTCCCTCTGGGTTTGGGGTGAGCACCAGAGCTGCCAATTTCCAAGAAATGTGGGTGGCAAAGTGGGCGCACTCTGCTTGTGTGAGGGCACTCATCACCCTCTCCTTGGTCGCGGAAGAGCCGGCCAAGGGTTGGCATCCGAGCAGTTCAGCCACCATCAGAGCCTCCTCCTCCGCAGAGGGCATGGGTCCCCACAGCCAGCGGTCCATCACAGGCGAGGGCAGGCGAGGGTTCCCTACCACTGCTGCCATCGAGACACCGCCACATGGAGCTGGTCCTGGGCGCCGAGAATGAGCCTGAGAAAACAATGATTAGGGTTAAATCCAAGCACAGGGCAGCAGTTGTGATAAGATCTTACAAAAACAGAATTTGTGGCCACAGCATTCCTCAACAATCAAATAGAATATAGGAATCATTTTTCAGTAATCTGAATAACGAGCACAACCTTTACACTGGATCCAAGGCCATGGATGGAGGGAACAGCGATGAGGCTGAAGCGTTCATACAGATATTCATTTGAGGAGCTTCCTTTAAGCAGAGCAAAGGGGATGAGGTACAGTTCTCCCTCCAGCACCATCACCAGCTGTCTGTGTCTGCCAACTGGTCCACTGGAGTGCATCAAGCCCTGTCACACAACAGGATTATTGTGAGAACACATATGTACAAAAGAGCCTTCAATGTGTGGTGCTTTCTATCTCATAACTGGATTTTCTCTAATGCTCCTCTATCTACCATACAACTATATGAACAGGCAGGTGATGGCCCGTAGAGGTAGTGCTTACCCCTTCCATAGGTGCAATCAGCAAATCATAAAGTGCCCGGAGTGGAGGTTTGCCGAGGTTGCTGGAGCGGCGAGGCAGAGAAGAGTTACCATCTTTGGCAGGAGACATGGTGTTACTGAACAGGCTGGTCATACTCTGGCAACTCCTGTATAAACACAGCACAAAACAATGCATGTGAAAACACTGTCACTGTTGTGCAGAATGCTGCAAAATCCTAAGGCAAAAACACACTGCATTAACAGTAATACCTCCAATACTGCCATAT